TTATGCATGTACATCTACATATGTTTATATGTAAATGCTTAGGTCTATGCATAGGGCATGTATATGTATACGCACACGTATATGTATATGCAAATGTGAATGTAAAGGTGTAAATGCATGTATAAACATATGCCTGTGGAATTGTACACGTTTAGGTATATGTACATGTATATTCATATGCATATGTTTACGTGCTGGGTACACAAGAGTATATGCTTATGCGTATATTTACATATATAGATATATCGATATACACAGATGCGCACGTATGTGTATATGTATCGGTATGTGTATAAGTGTAAGTATATGAGTTTACACATGTGTACATAGATGCATACATATACACATTCCTCAAGCAATGACTGCACTCAAAGGTTACTTGTTTGTCATGAGGAACGGGGCCTGCGTGGCGGTCTGGCTGCTGCGTGGTCGCCGTCGATGCCCCGTTGTCGCCTCGTCGCCACCCATCGTCCAGGCCTGTGTGGCGGTATGGCGGCTCCGTTGTCGCTGCCGCCGCCCCATCGCCGCCTCGTCGCCGTCCGTCGTCTGGGCCTGCTTGGCGATCTGACGGCCCCGTTGTCGCCGTCGCCGCCCCGTCAACACCGCGTCACCACATATGTTGCACGGCATAGACTTCACAACATATGTATACAGATGTTGCATCACATATATCAGCATAGGTTGCAGATCACACAGGTTGCTCAACTTTGATGACACCACGTCGAGTGCATTTCATAGATTGCACCACGTAGATTGCACAACTTCCGTTGCACAACATAGGTTTCACAGCACAGTTCAGTCGCAAATCTTGCACCACCTAGATTGCTCCACATCTACTGCGCAACATCGACTGTGCATCCTAGGTTTCCCCACCTAGACTGCACGACGTGGGTTGCACCACTTATATCGAACAACACAGATTGTTTACCATAAACGTGTTTTGCACGGTATAGGTTGCATCACGTAGATTGTACACAATATATTGCAAATAGCTTGCATCACGTGGATTGCATTCGCACTGATTGTACCACACCGATTTCGCACCACATACAGTGTACCACATAATAGATTGCACTGCGTGACTGGCACCACCTCCGTCCTTCTTCCTTAAAGAGGATTCGGATCTACCGCCCCCGGAATTTACCGTACCCTTTTCCGTATTGCAATTTGAATATGGTTCTGCCCCATCGTCCATCCTATATGTGAACTTGGATCCTCCCAGCTAAATCGGTATCCCTCCCTAGATCCTCGTCCAACAATACTATGCGCACGAATTCGTCTATCAACCACCATCTGTCTTCGACAATCCGTTGCAACAAACAGGACGAAGTGCACGCGCGCGTCGTCGCGCGCGCATGCCGAAATCTTTCGATCGTCTGAGGTGTCGTAGGGATTTCAAAATCGAGTGTCCCGAACACATATAAACACATGGTTTCGCTACAAGAATTTGCAAACAAACCTGCGCCGGCGCTCTTGCAGATTCTTCGGGAAACCATCGGTTTTCTTTTTTTTACATGTTCATCGCATGTGGCCTCTCGCGCGCGCATGTCGGAATCGCTAAAACGCCCTTGCGCGTGTGCTGTCGCAATAATCCCTTGCAGAAGCGGGACGAAGTGCACACGCGCCCGTCGTCGCGCGTGCATGCCGAAATACTTCAAAACCCTCGGGTTTTGCAAGGATTTCAAAATCGATTGTCCCGAAAACATATAACAACACATGGTTTCACAACACCAGTTTTGAAAAGACGCCTGCGCTCGCCCTCTTGCGAATTCTTAAGACAACCGTAATCTTTTGTTCAACATTCCCATTCAATTCTGCCAAACGGGCCTCCAGCGTCGAAATCATTCGAACGCCCTTGCGCGCGTGCAGCAGGGACGATCCGTCTCACATGATACAGTGCGGGCCACTCTCGCGCGTCGGCAACGCGCGCATGTCGAGCTCCTTCCACAACCTTCATCACCGACGCGATGGCAACGCCATCGGCGCCGGCGTGGTCAGTATCGGCGCCGTCACTGGCCTTGCCGCCGTCGTTGTCACCATCGTCACTGGCATTGCTGCTATCATCATCGTGTTTGCCGTTGGCGGCGTTGCCATGATACCGTCCCCGCCCTACTCGCCGTCTCGCACTGAAGTGCCCGCTGGGAAGTGCCGTGCGGTCAGCGCCACCGCGGCCGCGTTGGTCGCGCCAAACTAGTTGGCCGCTGCGCGCGCGAACATGCGCGCGCTAGCGGAACCACAGCGACGCACCAGTCACCACCAGCCACTCATCGCAAACGCCGCCGCAGGGGTTTTGCAAACCAAGTTGCGGTTGGATGGGTGGGAAGATTGCGCGAGCAGTGGAGTTGAACATTTCAATTCCTGCGCGGTGACTTGCACCACGTGGATTGCACATCACAGGTCTCGCGACACTGATTGCGCAAACATTTTGCACAACATGTTGCACCACATAGCTTGTTCTACACAGACCGCACAACACACATATATACATCTAGATAACTATATATAGTTATATATACCGACAACGGACAGTTTGGGGCTCACGCTGGCCAGTATTTATATGTATGTAGGTATGTATGTATACATGTGTGTATGTATGACGGGATGTGTGTACCCGCAGCTTAATTAGCAAGTGTGTGCCCTACGTGTGGCCCATCCGCCAACGCAGTGACTTTGCCAAGCCGCCGACGCAAAACAAACATGTATGGGTTCGCTTGTGTATTCATGCATATATGTATGCATGGCTGCTTGCATGCACGCTTGTATGTACATTCGCATATATATATATATATATATATATATATGTTTACGTATGCATGTGCGCATTCATGTCTTTTTGTACGTATGCATGCATCCATGCATGTCTGCATGTACGTACGTACGCATTTATCTGCACACACACATGTGTCTATCTGTATGTGTGTCTGTATGTTTATATATATATATATATACATGTGTGTCTATATGCGTATATGTGTATGTGTGTATGTATCCTACGGGGGTGGAAGCGCACGGCCCAAAAACAGGTGCCCCGACCCTCCACTGGCGGACCGGGGCCCAAGACTGCTCCTCAGACCCCGTGGTGACGGTCCCGGCCGGCCCCAGAACGGACCAGGGGGACTTCAAGTATCACCATAACGCCCCAACAGGGCCCCAGAGCGTCCCAGCGACGGCCCAAGAGGCCTCCAAGACGTTCGGAGGAAGCTCTAAGCCCAACAGGCAACAAAACAATGATTTTCAATCTCTTCTCCAACCTTTTATATTTTCGCCTTTCCGGCCTTCCGACGTGCTGAGACGGCCCAAGAGGCCCCCTAGACCTCGCCCGGACGGCCCAAGACGCCCCCAAGATCGCCCCAGGACAACCCGACACGGCTCCAACACGGCCTCAAGAAGATTCCAAGACGGCCCCAAGAGTGGCCCAACCCGACAGGCTCCTAAAAATCAACCAGTGGCAGCACACGAAGTCTCCTCGGGAATGTTCGATAGAACTCGTTACCTGGATACTCGTATCAGAAAGTGAGACACGGAATCTTTTACCTGACTCAGGGGCCCCGGAACATCAAATGGCAATGTGTCTAATCACGTGTGGAACAAATGATGGCAGCACATCATGTTGGCTGAAATTGGTACGAGAACCTAACTGGGGTTATGCTGACACGGGCGAACAAAAAGGAGTTAACACATTTTCATGCTTGCACATTGCCAAGAACAGGCTCCCCAGAATTTTATCATAAACAAATCAAAACACCTAACGGGAGCGGAACCGAAACTAGAACATATAAAACATCGTTTGCACCGCGGGCCTCCTGCACAAGCCAGTCTGCTTCGAATGTGAAACTCACCGGTGGTCGCGTCAGCGACATGTATACTTCTTTGATTTTCAGCACGCCCTGCGATCGGTCGATCTCGCCGAACAGAAACAAGCAAGGTGCGTTCCTCGGAGCGCTCAGTCTCACGTCGGCCTTACCGATTGTCATGTCTCTGGGTCCCCGTCGTCGTCCAGCCGGTCACGAAAGGTCCATGGGCGTACTCGGGCAGCGGCTAGAATCTCGGCGTGCTGAGGTCCAGACTGTAGCGGCACTGCGACTGAACGATCATTCTGATTCGTCGGCTTCGGATCAGTCCCAGTCGTGGTCGTCTCCACGGTCTTGACCTTGACTGGCACAGGTTCGATCTCGGGCTCCAGCGTCTTTTCGATCTTCGCGCCGTGCTCGATCTACAGCGTCCAGCGTGTCCACCAAACTCCAGCACGAAATCCACAGTAGAACGCCACCACGAGTCCCATCACGATGCCGAGAATCATGATTCTCATGATGTCGTTACAGTCGGTCGGCGCCGGTCGGTTGAACAGCTCACGCCGCTGGGCGTGTGCTGCATCACCTGGCCGGCCGCGCTGCTGGCTCCGCTTGCTGCTAGCGTCGCCGCCAGCTTCGCGCCACTTGTGCCGAGATGGCGATTGCCCTCGGCCTTCGCTTTTTCCTTCGCCTTTGTCACAGGCGCCGTCTCGAAGGTGTCGTGCAGTGCCTCGCCAGCGTCGTCCAACTCCTTCTCGCGTTGCTGCATCGCCCTCTTGGAGAGCTTCTTGCTTGCCACGACGTCGAGATCGTAGCGCAACGCGTGCACTCCACGGCGTAGCACATCTGCCATCATCTGGCGGGCTGATAGCTTGGTGAGCCCGTCCGCCATCTGCTGCTGCGTGTTCACCCACTTCCCTGTGGCGCCAATCTCCACCAGCTGCTCGTTCACGATCTTAACCTCGATAGCCGTCCTCTTCTCCGAGATGCCAAGTCCAGCCGTCGCAGAGCGCGACGCGTCGTAGAGGCACTTCGCGTCCGTGATGAGTGGTGACTCGCCGAGGGACACCATCGCGGCATCATGTCCAGGTCGGGGCGCACGCTCCACGCCAAGTATACCTTTACTACACACATCAACGAGTCCGCGCCCAAAGTTGCTGCTTGCGCCTCCGCCGACAGCGAGCTCCTACACAGCCGCTGCAGCTTCTTCTAGGCCCACTCCACGGCCACGAAGTGCGTCGGGGTGCCGGCGTTGAGCTTGTCCGCAGGTCCGACGAAGATCGCATGGCCTCCTTGCGAGTCTCCGTCATGTCGACTCGCCCAGCTCGCGTCGGTGTAGCTGCTAACTCGCTGGTCGCTCCAGGCCTTGTCGAACCCGAAGTACAGCCCTACGTCCGCGCTGGCCTTCCGAAAGCGCAGGTCCTTGTACGCGTCCAGAAAGTCCTGCACGGTAGCTCGTCCTGTCGCTGAAGCTCTGAAGGACATCGTGGTTGCTGCTATGATCATTCCTTGTGTTGCCGGCCACTGCAACTGTCCAGTCAGGTCCCTGAAGCTCGTGAGCTCCTTCGGCGATAACGCAATCGTGAGATCAGCCCTCCGGTGCTTCTCGATGGTGATGGGCTTCACCGCGTGCAGGTACTTCTCGAATGTGAGGGTCACGGCGCAGGTGCACAGGGACTGCTCCACTTCGCCACCAGTGAAGATCAGACTCGGCCCGAACTCCAATTTGCCGAACTTGAACTTCTCGTTGAGCGCCCCCAGCCGCACCTGGAAACACTCGGTGTTGTCGAGCGTCGCGTGGAGGTCCTGCTCGTTCGTCACGCCCTCGCCGCCGCCGATGAAGTCGTCCATGTGCTTGCCGATCAGACCGTCCACCACGTAGGTTTGGCCCTCGAAGTTGCGCGCGTCGAACGTGTCGTCTTCGACCTTCGCTGGTCGCAGGGCAACAGCAGGCAGTCTTCGAGCCTGTGGTTCCTGAACCCGATCTCCCTCGCGACCTCGTCGGAGTGGTGGTGCTGGAGCTTGGGCGACCGCGGGTCACCGAAGCATGGCTTGATCATCTTGAGCAGCTGTCCCTGCTGCAAGCCGATCTGGTATGAGAGCATCTCCCGCATCTCCTTCGTCGGGCTCGCGTACAGCTTGAGGCCATGTACGCTGGCGTCCTCAGCCTGCAGGAAAGCGGACTTCACATCCGCGGTGAACAGCCTCCGCTTCTTCAGAGACGCCCAGAGCATGACCGTGCGTCGGCCAAGCTTGCTGAGGGTCGGCGCCTCCTTCTCGAGCTGGCCCTCGGCGACGCCGCGGTCCTTAAACCCTTGATAGAGCACGCGCGCGTTGGCCACCTTCTACCCATCCTTCATCTTCCACTTGAGCTGGAAGCGTAGAGGGCAGCAGGCTGTTGGGTCCACCTCCTCCTCGTCGATGGGCTCCCAGCCGTCGTTGCGGCTGAAAATCTCGAGGGCCTCTAGCTTCGCCGCGTAGAACGGGTCCTTCTCCTCAGGCGTCAGCTTCGCTTCCACGATGGTGGGGGGCTTTCCTCTTGAAGGCCAGCATGTAGACCGTCTCGGTCGACTCCTACAGCAGTAGCATCTGGTCGCCCACCTCCTCGGCGAGCTCAGCCTCCTCGCTCTGCGGTGCGAGCTTCGCCCGCGACAGGCATGCGTGCTTGGCCAGCGGGATGCCGTCCAGCCTCTCAGCCTCCTCGACACTCCTCTTCGCCATCACATCAATGTGGGTCCTGCTTGGCTCCTGCGCCGCGCTGCCAGACGCGCTGGCGCTGGCCACTGCTGTCTCGGCGGCCGCATCCTCGCCAGTCGCCGCCGGCTGAGGATCTTCAGGAGCTGCCGCGGCAGTCGCTCCTGCTGTCGGTTCGCTGGTCTCGTCCGTCTCCATGGGTGCCTGGGCGCTGGGCTGCTGCTGCTCGCCCATGTCGTCCGGGGTGTCATCGTAGAGGGGCTGGCGCCTGTCCTCGGCAAGGTCCCAGCAGTTGCAGCTTCCCTTCGTCTGCTTGAGCACGCGCCTGAGCTTCTCGATTGTGCTGAGCGGGCTGTCGGGGTCCTCGCCGCGCCCTTCACGCTCGCGGGCCTCGCCTGGCAGCTCGGGGCGAAGCTGCTCAATGGTACAGCGGCTGATCGTGCATCCGCGCGTCACCCACACTACCGAGGTGTGCATCGCGTTGTCCTCATTGACCTTCGCATCCACTGCCACCACCAGCGTCGGGCCGTGCCCGTGGCACTTCTCCAGGCCCTGCGTCTGTTCGGGTCGGCAGAAGTAGACCCACTCACCGATCTCGTAGTTCCTCCTCGTCGGCCTGCTGCGCGCCAGCAACGCCGCTTGCACGGCGCGCGAGCAGTTGGCCTCGATGAAGGCCGTGCCGGCGGCCGTCCGCCTGACCATCAGCGCGGCCCGCTCCGACAGGCCGAAGTCCTCGTCGCAGAGGGCGTCTGAGATCCTGGGCTGCGTCCCCAGCACCAGCGCCGCGGGCGAGAACCCGTGCAAGGGTGTTCCGCTGGCTGGCGGTCGTCCTGAGCGCGGTCTTGAGCGAGTCATCGGAAAATTGGAGGTTGTACTTGCTGAGCTGTTCCCTCCGGACCGCGTGGTTCCGCTCCATCAGGCGCAACTTGTGGTGCGCGCCTTTCGGGATCAAATCGAGCTTGATGCCATGCTTGCTCATCCAGTCGTGCATGCGCTTGGACGTGTGCGAGCCTCCCGTGTCCATCCGCATCGTCTCGGGCTTGCTGGCCCAGCTGATCCAGAGCTTCTGCCAAAGCCTCGCCTCCTTCAGGAACGTCTCCTTCAAGATCTGGCAGTCGACCTCGTAGCGCGTGAACTTGTCCATGAGGCCAGGATCTTCCGCTCCTTCATCTTCGACGTGATGTAGCACACGTTGGTGCAGACCACCTCGTTGAACCTCTTAGCCTTCGGCAGCACTGCGACGCGAATTGCTCGAGGCCTCTGCCTGCGTGGGCAGATCTCGCTATACTGGAGCCTGGCAGACGGGATCAACTCCGCCGGGGTACCCGCATGCTGCATGGCGATCGCCAGCGATGCGTTCAAAGGGTGGCCCAGACTGACGCGTGCGCGCTTGACTGCTCTGATCGTTGACACGTTGAACCGCTTCATCAGCTCCTGCATCACGTCGGTGTACTCGATGGCGCCGATGTCGCGGTAGACCCCCTCGGCCGTATAGATATCATTGATGTCGTCGGCCATGCCTTGGAAGGCTGTCATGTAGGCCATCTTCTTCGCCATCGGTCTCGGGTAGTTCTGAGCTTGGTCCTCCGTACACGCGCATACCAGAGTCATGTGGTTGATGAACTCCCTATTGGTCGACTGCAGCCTCGTTGGTTTCGGGCAGGGCATGTCCTTGCCACGAATCGTAAACTTCGCTCGCAACTTGCAGTGGTCAAGCCTGCAGTGGTATCCTGGTAACTCCTTCCACGTCTACGTCTGCCAGTGTAGCCACTGCCACGGGCCTTCTGCATACGCATGTCGATTTCCGTTCAGCTGTTTCACAAACGCCGTGTAAACCATCTTGAGAAACGTCCGCTCTTCGCGCTCCCTGGCGTCATTGATCTCGCTGGCTCGCTCCTCGGATATCTTCTCATTCACATACTGCCACGTGCACCAGTACTTGCATTGCATCGGGCGCGAAGAAGATATCGTCAGGATTAACATGGTCGAGCTTGTTCAGAAAATCGGGATCACGGCGGGTCTGGAGAAGTCCCAGCCGTCTTCTAGCCTGGACTGGAACACCTCGAACTGCGGGAGCTCGACCAACTCCGTGGTTCACGAAAACCTCCCAGACCACGCGCTTGCGCGGCCCGCGCAGCGTGGCCTTCATTTCGGACTCCGCCTGCTCCAGCGCCAGGGCCGGGTCCGAGTAGGTGTCCGAATCCATGAGGTGGAGCCCCGGGCCCACGACATCCTCCGTGGTCAGGGTCTCCTCGCCGTCGCCGATGTCGTAGAACTCCGTCTGCGTCTCGAGGTAGAAGGCGTCCGGGCCCGGCGCCGACGAGTCCTCGTCGTCGCCTTCGTCGCTCTTGATCGACCTTCCTTCCGTGTCCTTATGCGTCGAGTCTCCGCTGCTCGCCTCGTCGTCGGTGGGGGCTCCCTCGTTCATGTCGTCCTCGGCGTCGCGACCAGCTCCGCCCACTAGGTCTGTGATGAAAGTGGCCCTTCTCGTCGCGCTCGGACTGCATCCAGCCTTTGTCGGGGAGATGGGGAAGCCAGTAGGCGGCGGGCCAGAGGACGACAAATCAATGTATCATAATCTGTTTCAAATACGGAGGCAGCTCCGACCAGTGGGGGTTGGAGGCTCGCAGAGTAACAGCGGCCCGCCCGGCGGGAGTGCCTGGAACATGCACGCGTACAACAACATCGCACAGAACGAGGTCCGCAGAGGGGCGGGAAAAGAAAGGAGGATGGACAAACATATCACTCAGAGGCTCGCAACCACGCTCGGCTCAGAACATGTCGGCGCTGGTGTCGATGCGGATGTCGACGCCCGCTGGGGCGCCAGCGTCGGATGAGGTGTCGACGCTGGCGTCAGTGCAGGTGTCGATGATGGTGCCGATGCTGGTGTCGGTGATGGTGGCAATGCTGGCGTCGCTATTATGCTACCGGCCAGTCGGCCGGGATAGCACTGCGCACCGTGAGAGCAGCACACACGCACCAACTCCATGACATTCAGAGGGGGGCATGATTTGTCCGCCCTCCCCCCCGTGCCCAGTGTCATTGTCGGGATTTCTTATTCGCAGAGAAAATAATTCGTTCCACATTTCAGTGCGAGACTGTTCAACGTCAGCAGGTCGGCGCGGGAGTCGGCGAGCTGGCCGATGCTGAAGTCGGTGAGCGAGTCGGCGTGGGAGTCGGCGAGCTGGTCTGTGCGGGAGTCGGTGAGCTGGTCGGCGTGGGAGTCGGCGATCTGGTTGGCGCGGGAGTCGGCGAGCTGGACTGCGCGGGATTCGGTGAGCTGGTCAGTGCGGGAGTCGGCGAGCTGGTCGGCGAGGGAGTCGGCCGGCCCCTCGACGCCGGAGTCGGCGAGCTGGTCGCTGCAGGAGTCGGCGAGCTGGACAGCGCGGCAGTCGGCGATCTGGTCGATGCAGGAGTCGGCGAGCTGGTTGGTGCTGGAGCCGGCGAGCTGAATGATGCGGGAGTCTCACGTTCTCCCCCTTGGCGCTGTTGTTTGGCGGCGTTCGGCTGTGTACTCAGGAAGTCTGGACGTTGGCCAGGGGCGTTTCGGCCACGTTCTGCCTGCGTTTCAGTGTGTTGTACTGTCTAGTTTGTCTAGTTTAGTGTGCAATGCATTGTACTGCCTGCGTTTCAGCCCCTCCTCCTCCTCCTCCTCGTCCTCCTCCTCCTCCTCTTCCTCCCTTGGTTGCCCAGGTGTGTAGTCCTTAGCTGGTGTCCTTAAGTGACCCACATTTTCTCTGCTCGGAGTGGAGGCTGTAGGGTAATCCGCAGCAGCCGCCGCAGGTCGCTCGGTGTTTCCGCTTGCCTTGTGTTCTCCGCGGTCCCTCCTCCTCTTGATCCTCCTCCTGGGCGTCTGTGCGCGAAGATCAGAATGTGTTATCATTCGACGTTTTACTATCTCGCGCCAGTTTGGGACACATGCGCTTGCCTGTCCCGGCCGCGCTGCCGATGCAGTCTCGCGTTGTCTCTAGCGTGCTGACATTTCGGGGGTTATATTGCACCTAATCTGCCCAGTGCTTCGGAAGAGTAATCAGCTCAGTGCTTTCCCCAGCGCAGTTGGATCACCTCAGGCATACGCCTTGTGAGGAACAATGTTTCTATTTAGATTTCCGCGCTGAGCAGAATGCCGAGAGGATCGACAGTGTGGTGGCGGTGCCTCCTCATCAAACAAGAGCCTTTGTCGGGGAGATCCTCCGTCATGAACGTGCCAGTTCGGTAGTCCTGGATCAACCTCACTCCTCCATACAGGGTCGTGCGATGAGCAGCGGCGTCCACCCATCGACGGGGCGGATTGTGATCTTCTTCTTGACGCCAAACGGCCACACAGTCAGCGTCACACCCCGCTTAGCCTCCAGTGTCTTGCCGTCCCCGAGGAAGCGACGATCACTCTCGCCATACTCGACCTCGTGTAGCACATGTTTCGAGCGAAGTAATGCCTCCCATTGCGTCCAGACTTTGTCGCCCATGACGGGCCCCGTAGCACCGCCATCGCTGATGCCCTTGACGACTGTCAGCAGGAAAACCTCTTCGGTCGAGATGGCGTATTCCAGCGTCTCGACGTCCTCCACCATACGTGTCTCGTCGTCGGGCTTGGTGGAGCTGCCTTGCCTGAAGCGCTTGAACCTCGGGCTGTGCTGCTGGGTCGAACCCGATGCAGTCGAGCCCGCTGGAGTAGGTGGAGTCCCTTTGCCGAACCCGCCCTTCTCCGGTCACGAAGCTTCTCGACGTGGCTGACCGAGTCCGTTCCGCGTCGTTTGCTTTTGCCACGTCCTTTGCCACGGCCAGCTCCCGGACGTGTCGCTCTCGTAGGTCCTGCGCGAGCATCGCGTTGGTAGTTGTTCTCGGGGGCGAGGTCGATGATCGGGTAGAAACCTCTGGCCTTGACTATCGCCGCCACGCGCTTCTTCGCATCCACGAAACTGAGATACGCCTCGTCGCACGCCACTCGGGCTTCCTCGACTTCCTGCGGCAGCTCCACTGCGACGTCGGCCTCTGCCTCGTTCTCGTCGTAGTCGTACTCCTTTCGTCCTCGTACTCTTCCTCCTCCAGGTTAGAGTCTTCGTAGCACAGGTGTCGCTCCCACTCGTAGTCGTTGGCATAAGTCACGCCGTCCTTCAAGCTCTGTCCGATCAGCATCTTCTCAACTCGTTTCACGTCGCGCGTGTCGGGCATAGCTTCGACTCCGTACGTGTCGAGCAGGGTTTTCTTCACCTCCGTCCAGCAGAGGCCGTCCACGCATTGACTGCGAACCTGGGCGGCGCCTGATAGCGGGACGGCCGCTCTCGTGAGGAGGTGCCCTCCCGCCAGCATGTCGGGAATCTCCATCCCGACCTGTTTGAGCTTCTTGGGCTCTCACTTGTGGCCTAATCAGTAAATATTCATCGTCTTCTTCTCTTGGCGAGCGAACTTGCCTATTTGTAGTGCTCGCCGAGCACCTGGAACAGCGGCCTGAAGCCCTATTCAGTTTCCGACAAGTCCAGGTCGATGTCCTCCGTAGCCTCCGCGGCCTCACCCTGCAGCGAGTTCATGACAAGGAACTCTCCCTTGCCGACCGCGGTGGTGCCACGTTTCCTGCAGCAGCGCTCGAAGACCTCCATCTAGCGTCGAAAGGTACGGTAGCCGTCGGTCCTCAACAGCTCGTAGCTCGGCGCTGTCTTGGACAAGCCTGCGTCAAGGCCTCGTCCTCCCCCGTCCCAGGTAGAGCTCTCCTGTCGGCCCCACCAGCCTTGCCACCCGCCTTAATCTGTGTAGTCTGAGCCTCCTCCGCGTCCACGCTGCTCGGTGGGACTCGCCGATCCTCCGCGCTGGTCTCGGCGGCGGCTGCGGAGGCAGAGGCTGCCGGCGGGACGCCCGGCGGCGGCGCGCAAGGCGCACCGTCGGGCATGGCGGCGACGGGGGAACCGGAGAAAGTGGATCTCCGGCTCCGCTACCAATTTGAACCGATGGCAGCACACTCAGTCTCCTTGGGAATGTTCGATAGACTTGATTATCTTGAGAACCGTTTCAGAGGATGGGATACGCAGCCGTTTACCTGACTCAGGGGTCCCTGAGCATCACGTGGCAATGGATCCAATCACGTGTGAAACAAGTATTTGCAACACATCATGCTTGCTGAAACTGATCAGTTGTGCTAAGGCAACATAAATATACGTAACCTCCATCAAACTATGGTTATATCGACACCAAGACCCCACGAGGCCCGCAAGAGGTCCCAATAGGCCTCCAAGATTCCCACAAGACGGCCCAACACGGCCCCAAGACGGCCCAAGAGGCGCCTGAGACGGCTCCAAAAGGTCCATTGACCTCCCTGGAAAGGGGTCTCGGTATCGGTGTCGGTCGACAGGGCTCATCGTCAGCCTCAAACGAACAATGGAGCAATGAAATGACAATGAAGCCAGCAATTGTGCACAGGGCGTTCCGGCAGGAACCTTCGTGAACACGCTGGAGGGGCAGGGAAGTTAGGAAGAGGAAGAGAAGGGGGAGGAGGAGGAGGAGGAGGAGGAGGAGGAGGAGGACGTTTTGGAGGTCTCCCTCCCCCCCTCGTCGCACGCGTCGTCGCACTCGTCGAATTCGCTGTCTGGTTCGGCCCAGTTCAGGACCCATTTCGAAACCGCTTCGGTTTGGCTCGGTTCGAGTGTCGAAAACGACCAGTTCGGTTCGTCTCGGTC